ATGAGGCAGCTTTCAGGGCCACAGAGAAATGAAAAAACTCTTAAGCAGATAGTCTGATACTGGGAAATAAATATTTGGCCTTCATGTCCCATTTCCTGATGTACAACTCTTAAATCCTTAGAATCTCCAAAGTCCTGTATTTTTGTATGCTAGTACTGACTGATAGCTTTAGGGTGGGGCTGGTTACCATAAAGATGAAGCCATGATTAGAAGTTTGGGACTTTCAGCCCTTCCCTGAAACCCTCTTGGAGAGGAGAGGCGTTGAAGGTCAAGTTGATCACCAATGACCAGTGGTTTAATTAACTAGGCCTACATCATGAAGCCTTCATAAAAACTTTAGAGGACAGGGTTCAGAGAGCTTCTGGATAGCTGTATATCTGGAGGTTCCTGCAGGGTGGCATGCCCAGGGATTGAATGGAAATGCCACACACCTTCACCTGTGCCTTGCCCTATACATTTCTTCATCCGTATCCTTTGCAATATCATTTAAGCCTGTTTTGCTGAGTTCTGTGAGCCACTCTAGCAAATTGTTCAAACCCAAGGAGGAAGTTGTGGGAACCCCAACTTGAATCTGATTGGTCAGAAGTTCTGGAGGCATGGACTTGTGACTGAAGGTGGGGAGGCAATCTTGGAGACTGAGCCCTCAACCTGAAGGATCAGACTCTATTTCCAGGTAGGTAGTGTCAGAATTAAATTCTGCATATGGATAGGGGGAAATCCCCACCTGCAAACATTTGGTCAAATAATTTTTGGATTGTTCTTGTGTGAGAGCAGAGAAAAAACATTGTTTTGGAGTTTTTCCTAAACAGATGATAATTGGACTTCTTATCTGTGATAGTCTTCCCTTGAGTCTTTGTGGCACCAAATGCACAGAATAGTTCCCTTCAATTCATGGTTTCTCTGCTGGAAGTTGTGAGATCGAGGTGGATAAGTAGCTTCCCTATCATCTCAGGTTCCCTCTCAGGAGAATTTTTCCCCCCTCAACTCACTGGTAGCATTGGCAGTGCCTGAAGGTAGAAATATTGCTAAGGACAGGCAGAGTAAAAGGCGGGGAGGTAGTAACACTATCCCTGACCTTGCAAACTCTGCTCTGCAACTCAACCAAAGGAGATGCCAAATCATAGTGGCTGTTCAGCAGCACCACACTGTAAGAGGTATGTTCTACAGGTCCCCTAGGCAGGAACTCCTAATGATCCTTCTCACACTGCTGTGATACATTCTTTGTGATTTCCCCCATTCAGTACAGGCAACACTTAGATTGTTTACAAAAGCTGAGGCAAACCTGTGTTTAAGGTGCCATCTAGTACTAAAAAGGTGGTGGTGACCTAGTGGGAAACAATATTCAACAGGTAAATTACAAAGAGTGGCTAAGCAAACATGCTCAGTAAACACCAAATCAAGCCAAACCAAGAAGACTGGAATAAATGAATTATTCATTGCGAAAATGTGGACATAAATCTACAGGACATAACAAATAGGAACAGTGACGTCCCCAAAAAGACAAAAACTCCAATGACTGATCCTAGTGAGACAAAGAGTATATGAGCTCTCTGATCAAGGATTTAAAATAGCAGTTTTAAGTAAACTCAGTGATCTCCAAGATAAAAAAATTCAGAAATTTATTAAAGAAATTAAACAGATTGAAATTATTTTTAAAAATGAAATTTGGATCTCAGAAATATATTGGGCAACTAAAAATTTTATTAGAGACTGAACAGCAGAATGGACCAAGCAGAGAAAAGAATCAGTGAGCGACAGGCTATTTGAAAACATACATTCAGAGGAGAAAAAATTAGAAAGATGATTACCTGCAAGATACAGAAAATTAGTTAAATAGACCAAATCTAAAAATAATTAGTGTTCAAGAGGGAGTTAAGGTAGAAAACTTATTCAGAGAAATAATAACAGAAAACATTCCCAAACTTGAGAAAGATATAAATATCCAGGTATAGGAAGGTCTGAGAACAACAAATAGATTTGATCCAAATAAGATTACCCTAAGGCATATAATCAAACTCTTAAAGGGCAAGGATAAAGAAAGGATTCTAAAAGCAGCAAGAGAAAAGAATCAAATAACATGTAAACATACTCCAATTCATCTGGCAACAAACATCTCAACGGAAGCCATATAGGCCAGGAAGGAGTTAGATGACATTTTTAAAGGGCTGAATGAAAATAAAAAATCTGTCATCCAAGAATACTGTATCTAGCAAGTATATCCTTGAAATAGCAAGACCAGATAAAGTTTTCCCAGACAAAAGCTAGGAGACTTCACCGCTACCAACGAATTTTACAAGAAATTCTAAAGGGAATTCTGGAAGACAAAAACATGTTCAAAAAGAAAACATTTGAAGGTGTAAAACTGGCCAGTTAAAGTAAGTACACAGACCGTTAATATTCTTTTTTTTTTTTTTCCCGGAGAGGGTTTTGTTCTGTTGACCAGGCTGGAGTGCAGTGGCATGATCTCAGCTCACTGAAGCCTCTGCTTTGTGGGCTCCAGTGATCATCCCACCTCTGCCTCCCAAGTAGATGGAACTACAAGTGTGTGCCAGCACACCTGGCTAATTTCTATATTTTTTGTAGAGATGGGGTTTCACCATGTTGCCCATGCTAGTCTCGAACTCCTGGGCTCAAGAGATCCACCTGCCTTAGCCTTCCAAACTGCTGGGATTACAGGCATATAGGTAGGGGGAAATGAACCACTATGCACAGCTCCCCAGAATATTATTTTTTCTTTTTTTTTTTTCCAAGATGGAATCTCGCTGTGTTGCTCAGACTGAAGAGCAGTGGCATGATCTCGGATTACTGCAGCCTCTGCCTCCCAGGTTCAAGCAATTCTCCTCCCTCAGCCTCCCACGTAGCTGGAACTGCAGGCATGTGCCACCACACCTGACTAATTTTTATTTTTATTTATTTTTAAGTGGAGTTGGGGTTTTGCTTTGTTGGCCAGGCTAGTAATTGGGGTAATTGACTCTTAGTTTCTTCCCGGCCTATGGAGTGAGATGGGAGCGAGGCATGGCACTGGGAAGTTCTTGCCCTTAAAACTATGCCCCCTTGTGGACCCTGAAAGATAACACATTCCCTCGATACTATTCATATGTATAAAGAGAATGAAATTCTGTCACTTGTGACAGCATGGATGAACCTAGAAGTCATTATATTAATTGAGATAAGCCAGACACAGAAAGACAAATAATCACATGTTCTCACTCATATGGAGAGCTAAAAAAGTGGATCTCATGAAGTTAAAGAGTAGATTGGTAAGTACCAGAGAAACTGGGAAGAGGGGTAGATGAATGAGTACAAACTTCAGTTAGATCGAAGAAATAAGGTCTAGTGTTTGATTAGTTGGTAGAGTAAGCATAGTTAATAATCTGTTGTACATGTCAAAGTAACTAGAAGATAATAATTTGAATGTTCCTAATATAAATAAAAGATAAATGTTTAATGGATATCCCAATTACTCTGATTTTATCTTGATACATTATATGAATGCATCGGATTATCACATGTACCAATAAAAATAAATAAATGAATTAGTTCATTTCCACGCTGCTAATAAAGAAATACCTGAGACTGGGTCATTTGTAAAGGAAAGTGATTTAATTGACTCACAGTTCAGTGTGGCTGGGGAGGCCTCAGTACACTTATAATGATGGTGGAAGAGGAAGCAGACACGTCCTTCTTTACATGGTGGCAGCAAGGAGAAGTGCCAAGCAAAAGGGCAAGAGCCCCTCATAAAACCATCAGATCTTGTGAGAACTCACTATTATGAGAACATCATGAGAGTAACTGCCCCATGATTAAATTACCTCTCACTGGGTCCCTCCCATGATGTGTGGGGATTATGGTAACTAAATTTAAGATGAAATTTGAGTGGGGACACAACCAAACCATATCATGCACTCCTAAGTATTTTTTTAAATAAAGGATTCCTTAAACTATTAAGGAAACTATACATGCCTTAACATCAAAGAAGATAAAAGATGTAAATGGACATACTACAGAAGAGGCAGTATATACTACTGTTAAAAATGTTAAGAGATGTTTAGCATCTTTTTTGGCCAGGGGAGGATGATACAGTTTGATGGTGTTCTCACCCAGATCTCATCTTGAATTGTAGCTTCCACAGTTCCCACATATTGTGGGAGAGACCTGGTGAGAGGTAATTGAATCGTGGGGGTATTTCCCATCCTATTCTCATGATAGTGAATACCCTCTCACACAATCTGATGGTTTTATAAGGGGAATTTCCCTGCACAAGTTCTCTTCTCTTGTCTGCCGCCATGTGAGACATGACTTTTACCTTCTGCTGTGATTGTGAGGCCTCCCCAGCCACGTGAAACTATGAATTCATTAAACCTCTTCTGTAAGTTTCCAAGTCTCAGGTATGTCTTAGCAGCAGAGGAACGAAACTACACTCCAGTCTCTCTACATATATGAAAAGTCTTACCTTTGACTTGAAGAAATCTAGACAATAGTCCTGTAGGCTAACATAGTACAACTTCTACTGTTTTGTGGCATCCTGTTACTCTAGTTGCTGAATTTCCTGTGATTTGGAAGTTGGATCTAAAACTTGTTGCTTGTTTCAGTTCAAATTAAAGATTCCTCCTCGTACACTCTCCTGCTCCCCAGAAACAAACAAACAAACAAACAAACAAAACCTTCATAGATGATGCTGGACCTTTAATTTTGTGTTAAAAAATCTGGTGGTTCTATTGTAAATGATGCTAAGATTGATCACTGTGTTTGGGCTCTAAAGTGATTTGCTTATTTGTTTTTAAAGCAGAGTAGATAAACTAGAATGACATGTTTTTGTGAAAATGCTTCTATAACTAATGCTTGCATTTATGGAGTGCTCTTTATATTCCTCAAAGCAATTAGTAGAAAGCATTTAATAAGTATTGATTTTTGTATTAAAGTTTTTATTTACTCCTTTTAGATTTATTATTCTTTTCCTGTGTGAAAAAATAAGACAGTTACTTTCTTTTTAATTATAGGTTTTTGGCTACTGATGTTACAAATAATAAAATATTGGAGCATAGAGTTGAAGAAAAGACTCAAACCAGGTAGGTAGATAATAAAAGTCTAAAGAAACAATAAAGTTACCATTTATTTTTATAAAGGACATTATTGATATCATTAAGAAAATTGGAATATTAACTGTAGAGTACTGTTGAAAATTAATTTTCCTGAATTTGTTAATTATATTGTGATTACATAAGGTAATACTCTTCCATATTTATGGTGAAGGGGCATGATGTATGCAGCCTACTTTAGAATGGTTCAGAAAAAAATGAATGATACATAATTTGACAGAGAATTTGATAAGGCATGGATAAATAGGAATTCTTATATTGCCAGTGGAAGTATAATTTTATCCAAGCTTTCTGGAAAGCATCATGGCAATTTGTATCAAGTTGTTTTTTTGTTTTTGTTTTTGTTTTTGTTTTAGATGGAGTCTCTTTCTGTCACCTAGGCTGGAGTATAGTAATGGGATCTTGGCTCATTGCAACCTCTGCCCCCTGGGTTCAAGCGATTCTCGTGCCTTTAGCCTCCCAAGTAAGTGGGAGAACAGGTGTGCACCACCATGCCTGGCTAATTTTTTGTATTTTTAGTAGAGATGGGGTTTCACCATGTTGGCCAGGTTGGTCTCAAACTCCTGACCTCAGGTGATACGCCCACCTTGGCCTCCCAATGTGCTGGGATTACAGATGTGAGCCACCGTGCCCAGCCCTGTATAAAGTTTTAAAATAGTTTATTCCATCAGTCTTATTTCTTTCCAAAAGTCACTGTAGGAAGACAAAAAGATATATATGTATGTATAAGAATATTATAGCAGAATATTTTACAGTTCAAAAATTGGCAACAACCTGGTATCTAACAATATGAAACTGATTAAATAAATACAGTTAAATACTGTGCAAGCACTAAAAATATAAATCTGTTTTTATTGACACAATGTCTATAATATATTTTTAAGTGTTAAAGCAGGCTACGAAACAAGCAGAATAGTATTAACCTGTTTTGTTTTTGAGAAAAGTTGCACATACACATACAAGTAAGTGTACATATGTTTGATGAATATACAATATTTACTTAGATGTAATGTGTGTGTGTAGACATATACATATATATGTATCATCTTGGAAAGATGACACCCATATATTGCTGGTGATTTATTTTATTTTACTTTATTTTTGAGACTGAGCCTCACTCTGTTGCCCAGGCTGGAGTTCAGTGGTGAGGTCTCTGCTCACTGCATCCTCTTCTTCCCAGGTTCAAGGAATTCGCCTGCTTCAGCCTCCTGAGTAGTTGGGATTATAGGCCCGCACCACCCCTCCTGGCTAATTTTTGTAAATTTAGTGGAGACAGGGTTTCACCATACTGGTCAGGCTGGTCTCAAACTCCTGACCTTGTGATCCACCTGCCTCAGCCTCCCAAAGTGCTGGTATAACAGGTGTGAGCCACCACCACTCTCGGCTGCTGGTGATTATTTTTGAATAATAAATTCATAAGTTATTTTTATACTGTTTTGTATTATGTGACTTTTTAAAACTTTTTTATGTTTCTATATTGCTTTTCTCATCAGATTTTTGTAAGATACTTATTAAGCTTATGTGTTTTTATTTTGTGTCTGTTCAACAACTACTAGTATACAATAAAGTGCTATATTTGTTGATACCTCTGTACTCTATTGGGAAAGATTTCTTAGTAGTGTTTATGAGGCTGAGTTCACAGATTCTGAGACTTACTAGTCAGCTGCATTCATTGTGTTATGTGATCAGTATCTGTTTGCTTAATTCTCTCTTAGCTGTTTTACTAATTTGCTGCTGCTCACCCAGCTTAGCTAAAGGATGTTACCATTTTTGAAAGATCAAAGGACATGTTCTAACTTTATATTTTCTTTTTAACAGGTTTTTTGTTAATTAGTTAAAAATATGGATCCTGAAACAAGGAGACCAGAGATTATCAAAGTGACACCTTTTCAACAAATGATTGCCTCTTGTACTGGAGCTATATTGACATCACTAATAGGTAAAATTATGTTACTGATATAGATTATGTAACTGTGAGTGAGTCAGTGCTTCCATTTGAGTTTTAGTATCAGTGAAATAATGATTATATTATCATTTATGATCTGTGAATGTTTCATCAGCACGATTGTATGAAAACAACCCTGGACAGAGATTCAAAAAATTCTAAAAATTGAATTTTTAGTCCTTGCTTTGCCATTCTCAAGGTGAATGTACTTAGGAACCGTACCTAACTTCTCTTTGAACTTCATTATTTCATCTGTAATTTAGGGGCTTATACTGGGATTTCTTTTGGGTCTCTGTCAACATTAAACTTTTATGAATCTCCCTTTTTTTAATAGAAAGCAATAAGATGGAAGAAAATATTAGCATAATTAATAATACAGAATTTTATCAATTTATGTTAGCAACAATTACAAATAGTCTTTATATTAACAGGGAGTTTCTTACATTTCCCTGGATCACAGTTTTCTATTTCTATAGTCAGCTTCTTATAGATGTAGCCAAATGACATACTTAGGTGATATTTAGCATTTTAATGATTTTAAGTTGGCTAGTTTATGTAAATAAAATAAATGATTAGAACAAATTAATTTCTTATGATACGCTATTTTCAGGTCAGAATTTTAGAGGTATAAAGTCCTTAAAGATCATCTAATATGATTATCATCATTCTCAAGATGAGGAAAAGTTTTCTTAGAACCATTATTTGGCATATTGTTTCTACTTGGATAAAATATAGCATGCATATTAAAACTATTTTCTTTTTCTGTGCTTTTCCCAAATAGAATAACGTAACTTAGTACTAAAGATGTTTTATGGTGAATGTATTCAAGTTTTTATTACCTGTACCTCTTATTTGATACAGGTAAATTTAACAGATTAGGAAGACTAGTGTCATTTGATTCTTGATTACTTATACAGAGTTTTTCTCAAAGACTTTTGGAAATTTTACTTCTTAGAAAGCATATTTTCTTATAAATATTAACTTTAATACTAATGGAATTATAGTTGTAGGAATATTACAAATAATAGTTTAGTATTCATGAGAGAAGTAATCTCTTTCACTGATTAACAAATTCAAGGGCAAAAAAATTAGAATGTTACTTTCAAGACTACTTTAAGATAAATAAGCTTACCTATTATATAGCTATGAGGAAAAGAATGAATCAGTGTACTTTGTGTTCTTTGTACAACATCTATCCAATTTACAGATACCACTTACTAATTAAAACTTACATATCTTGATAGTGACACCCCTGGATGTTGTTAAAATTAGACTCCAAGCCCAAAACAACCCACTCCCCAAAGGTATGTGTACTCATAACCCTAAAAATGTTATGTTTGATTTTTAAATGTTACTGTGTTTATTTTTGTTTGCATAACATTCATTTGTTAATTTATTAAGATTGATGCCTTTTTATCCTCACGAAAAACATTTTTGTTTTCCATTTAGTTGTATGTGATGAGGTGTAGGCAAAAAAACAAATATATAACATTTGTATGGATCTACTAATTAAAGCAGAGGACAGTTATGTATTTGTATCTGTACCTCACAGGTAAGAGCAGAATTATATTTGTGAGGGACCTTAGGATCTGGCTTATTCCTGTGTCCAAAAGTTGTGCCCAGGTTAGAGCATTCATGACCATTATACAGCTGTTGCTTGAATACAGTGATTGGAAATTTATTGTTTTATCAGACAGCTTGGTTAATTTCTGGATAGTAGTTTATGTAGAATTTGAGACAAATGATGTATTTTTATTTTGTAAGATAAGCAAGAGTAGCAATTCCTTAATATTTTATAGGTTTATAAAGATAATGGAATTGCAACCATATTTAAATGGCAGAAAACACACTGTTTGGACTGTGAGAAAATTGGCTCAGACATAAAGCCACTGTGTTGAATGCAGAGCAGTGAGATGGAATGAACAACCCTGATATTTTAGATTAATGAAAGGATAGATTGATTGTAAAGAGGCTGTAAAGGTAATTTCCTATACATTAAAGCCTTAAAAGCAGAAGGAAACAGACTTAAGTGTTGCAAAATTCACAGTTTCATATTTTTATATACTGTTGGGCAGAGAAGACAGTTTTGGCAACAGTTAGTCCAGTAAGTGGGAAGACGTTGGTATTAGAGAAAGTTATACTGTATTAGGTGGAAGGTGGCAAATGGCCAGACTGAGCAGTACAGATACAGAAAAAGAGACAAAGTGTAGCGTTATGTACATTGAGAACGACATTTAATAAAAAATCTATTTTTGTCTGAATTTCCCTTGGCTACCACAGATTTTTCTTTTGGACAAATATAGAAGATATGCGTCCATGTTTTCTTCTCCAAACGGGTTTTCCTCTTTTATCCTTCTTCATTCCTTCAGATAACTTAAAAGAAGTTGTTTCTATGTACATTTTCTCTTTTTCTTCTTCTTCTTCTTTTTTTTTTTTTTTTTGAGTCTGGGCTTCACTCTGTCACCCAGGCTGTAGTGCAGTTGTGTGATCTTAGTTCACTGCAGCTTTGACCTCCTAGGCTTAGGTAATCCTCCCACTTCAGCTTCCTGAGTAGCTGGGGACTACAGGCATGTGCCACCATACCCAGCTAATTTTTTGTAGAGAAGGAGGCTCACTATGTAACCCAGACTGAAATCAAACCCCTGGCCTCAAGCCGTCCCCCAGCTTTGGCCTCCCAAAGTGCTGGGATTATAGGCATGAGTGGCTGTACCTAGCCATTTTCTTACAGCAGTTCTGAAAACATAAAGTCTACTAATTTACAGTTACTTTTTTGTTTTAAGTTGGAGTCTTGCTTTGTTGCCCAGGCTAGAGTGCAGTGGTGTGATCTCAGCTCACTGTAACCTCTGCCCCCCGGGTTCGAGTTATTCTCCTGCCTCAGCCTACCAAGTAGCTGGTATTACAGGTGTCCACCACTATGCCCAGCTAATTTTTGCATTTTTAGTAGAGATGGGGATTCACCATCTTGGCCAGGCTGGTCTCGAACTCCTGACCTTGTGATCCACCTGCCTTGGCCTCCCAAAGTGCTAGGATTACAGGCATGAGCCACTGCACCCAGCCTACAGTTACTTTTAATAACTCTGAGTTTAGAATGCATTGCAGCATTAAGCAAATCAAATTAATTATATCTGTTTCATCCTAAAAAGCAGAGATCGTTATTAATCTTTTTCAAGATTGCTTCTCTTTTCATAATTTTCTAGTTTCCTCATTGTGATGTCTATATGTTCATCTGTAAAAATAATATAGCTACGTGACGTAATTGTTGGCTGTTGGAATCTTCTTTGTTAGGAAAATGTTTTGTATATAGTAATGGACTCATGGATCATCTATGTGTCTGTGAAGAGGGAGGCAACAAACTATGGTATAAGAAGCCAGGAAATTTCCAGGGAACATTGGTAAGGTGCTTATATTATTTTAGAATACCATTATATTTCCTATTTAATCTTATATGTGAAAGATTTTCTAATTGCAAGACGGTTAAGAATCATATTAAAGTGAGAACAGGGAACTACTCCTTTGCTTTTTAGCCCTTTGTTAACTTTCTTTTCTTAGTTTCATGCTTTTGTTTAAAAAAGGGGGAGGTCACGTTTTTAAGAACATTTTTATTTTGAGATACAGAATTAAAAATATATACACAGACAGATTTTATGTACCTTTTCTTAGTTTCCCCCAATGGTAGTACTATCTTACAAAACTAATATAGTGTCACCACTAGGATTTTGACATTGATTGATACAATTAAAATAAAGAATAATTTCATCATCACAAGGATTCTTCCTGTTTCCTTTTTAGAGCCACACCCGTTTCTCTTGTGTTCTCACCAACTATGTAAGCCCTGGCAACTACTAATCTGTTCTTCATTTATATAACTTTGTCATTTCAAGAATATTATATGAATGGAATTGTAACATATATGATCTTTTGGGGTTGGCATTTTTTACTTAGCATAGTTATCTGGTGATTCGTCCAGGTTGTTGCATGTATCAATCATTTGTTCCTTTTTATTGCTCATGATATAGATTATTTCATGGTATAGATATAACACAGTTTATTTTCAGAGTGTTTTCCAGATTTTGGCCATTATGAATAAAGCTGCTGCAAACATTCACTTACAGTTTTTTGCCTGTGGGAAAAATGCCTTAGGGAATACAGTTGCTGGGTCATATGGTAGTTATATGTTTAGAGTTTAAGGAACTGCAACCTGTTTTCTAGACTGATTCTAAGATTACATTTTCATTAGCACTGTGTGAGTGATCCAATTTCTCCACATCTTCACTAGTGTTTGGTGTTGTCAGTACTTTTATGTTAGCAATTATGATGGATGTGTAGAGATATCTCATCATGGTTTTAATTTGCATTTCCCTGGTAGCTAATGATGTTGAACATATTTTCTTTTTCTGGGTCAAAAAAAATTTTTTTTAATCTTCTTTTTAATTGCATTTTAGGTTTTGGGGTACATGTGAAGAACATGCAAGATTGTTGCATGAGTACACACATGGCAGTGTGATTTGCTGCCTTCCTCCCCATCACCTATTTCTGGCATTTCTCCCCATGCTATCTCTCCCCAACTCCCCAACCCCCGCTGTCCCTCCCTTATTTCCCCCCCGACAGACCCCAGTGTGTGATGCTCCCCTCCCTGTTCCATGTGTTCTCAATCTTCAACACCCAACTATGAGTGAGAACATGCGGTGTTTGATTTTCTGTTCTTGTATCAGTTTGCTGAGAATGATGGTTTCCAGGTTCATCCATGTCCCTACAAAGGACACAAACTCATTGTTTTTTCTGGCTGCATAATATTCCACGGTGTATATGTGCCACATTCTCCCTGTCCAGTCTATCATCGATGGGCATTTGGGTTGGTTCCAGGTCTTTGCTATTGTAAACAGTGCTGCAATGAACATTCATGTGCATGTGTCCTTATAGTAGAACGATTTATAATCCTTTGGTTATATACCCAGTAATGGGATTGCTGGGTCAAATGGAATTTCTGTTTCTAGGTCCTTGAGGAATCAATGTTGAACATATTTTCATATACTTATTTGCCTCTTCAGTAAAAAGGCTCTCCATGTCTTTAGCCCATTTTCTAATTAAATTGTTGGTAGTTTTACTGTTGAATTTTGAAAGCTTTTTTTTTTTATATATATATATTCTAGTAGTTCTTTGTTGAATGTGTTGTTGCGAATATTTTTTTCTACTCGTTTGTCTTTTCATCTTCTTAAACATGGTCTTTCACAGAGTAAAACTTTATAATTTTGATGAAGTTAAATTTATTAATTTCTTTTATATGTCATGCTTTTGGTGTCAAGGCTAAGAACTTTCTACTGTTAGACTCTGAAGACTTTCGTAAAAATTTTGTGTTACATTTAAGTTCTTGATCCATTTTGAGTTATTTTTATATAAAGCATGAGGCTGTGGTTGAGGTTTGCTTGTTGTTGCTGCCTGTGGATGTCCACTTTAATTTGTGGAAATGGCTGTATTTCCTTCATTGAGTTGTTTTTGCATATTTGTCAAAAATCAGTGAGGCATATTGGTTTTGTCTATTTCTGAGTTTTCTGTTCTGTTCCATTTATCTCTGCGTCACTCTGTCAATACCACAGTCTTAATTATTTCACCTGTAAGTCCTGAAGTCAGATACACTGATTTCTTTTACTTCATTCTTATATTTCTTTTTCTTTTTTTGATATAAGGCCTTGCTCTGTCACCCAGGCTGGAGTGCAGTGGAGCAGTCATGGCTCCTACGTCTTCAATTTGCCCACCTCGAGAGATTCTCCCACCTCAGTCTCCCATGTAGCTAGGACTATAGGCATGTGCCACTATGATTTATTTATTTTTTTTTGCAGAGTTAGGGCCTCACTGGTCTTGCACTCCTGGGCTCAAGTAGTCTTCCTGCCTTGGCCTCCCAAAGTGCTGAGATACAGGAATGAGACACAGCATCTGGCCCTTAATATATTTTTTTTCAAAGTTGTTTTAGCTATTCCCAAAGTTCCTTTGTCTTTCCATGTAAATCTTAGCATAATCCTGTTCATATTTACAAAAAATATTGCTAGGGTATTTGTTGGAATGACATTAAACTTGTATATTAATTTGGAGAGGAATAACATCTTTACTGTGTTTGAGTCTTTCAATCCATTTTCAACCTGCTTATGACATTATAATTGAAGGGAATTTCTTTTAGACAGTAATGTTTTAAATTCACTGTGTCAGTTTTTATCTTTTAATTAATATACGTAAACTATTGTAATACAAGTATACATTAGGATTTAAGCCTATCATTTTGTTTTTTACTTTCTCTTTGTTTTTTGTTTCTGTTTTGCTTTTCTTGCCTTACTTTGTGTTACTTGAACATCTTTTATCATCCCAGTTTGGTCAATAATGTTTCTGTTTATTATGTTTCTTTGTTGAGGCATTCTACCTTTTTATTTCTCTCATGCATGTTTGTAAATGATTATTCAATGATTTTATGCTGAGTGTTTCAAAACCTTTGTCAGATAATTCTGACATCTCTCTTACCTCAGTGTTGACATCTATTGTCTGTCTTCATTTAGTTTGACATTTTCTGGTTCTTAGAAAAATGAGTGATTTTCTATTGAAATGTGGAAATTTGGGGTATTCTTTTATTAAACTCTTAATATCATTTAAACTTTCTATTTTAGCTGTCTGTTTCTGACATTGCTTACATAGGGGAAAAAGATGTCACTTTGTTACTGATGAGTAGAGCTAGAAGTCAAGGTTCCCCACCCAGCCTCTATTGACTCACAGTGTGAGGGAAGACCTCTTTTACTGTTGGGCATGCCTGGGAGTTTTGGCTTTCTATATGGCTTCTGCTGACTGTGTAGTGGGGTAGCCTCATTGCTGGGTGATGGTGAAAGTACTGACTTTCCACTGTTCCTCCTGTGACACCACCCTAGCAGTATGATGGAGGAGCCTTACTGCTTACCTGGTAAGAGTAAAAGTCGTGGTTCCCTATTGACCTTCTGTCAGCCTTACCTTGGTGGAAGTCTAGGCTACGTGCTTGGCCTTTGCTGATACAAGTCTGAGTAGTGCCACAAGTTTTACTTTGGTGTTTGGCTAGAGCAGAGCGGTTATTGTCTAAAAGTTTTCTGTTTTACTAAGGTTCCCTTTCCTGGGAAGAAACATGCAGTCATTTGTGACTAACGTCTTTCACTTAGCACAGTGTTTTAAGATTCATCCATGTTATAAGTATGTATCAGCATTTTATTTCTTTTACTGCCAAGTAATATTATGTGACTATGTCGTATTTTATTTATTAATTTACCATTTGACAGACATTTGGGTTGTTGCTACTTTTTGGAAAAATTAATTCTATGAACATTCATGTTTTTAGGTGAACATGTTTTACTTTCTCTTAGATATAACTTTATGTGAATATATGTTTTAATTTTCCCCAGAATATAAGTGGAGTTGAAATTACTGAGTCATGTGATAACTATGTTTAACCTTTTGAGAAACTGGTAGACTCTTTTCCAAAGTAGCTACACCATTCTGTATTCTCACAAGTACTATCTGAGGATTTCAATTTCTTCACATTTCACCAGGATTTATTGTCTGTCTTTATAATTTTAGCTTATTTAGTAGGTATGAAGAGACATCCCATTTGTGGTTTTGCTTTGCATTTTCATAATGATTAATGATGAACATTTTTTCTTTTTTTGAGACAGGGTCTTACTCTGTTGCCCAGGCTGGAGTGCAGTGGCATGATCTCAGCTTACTGCAGCCTTTACCTGCTGTGCTGATGCAATTCTCCCACCTCAGCCTCCTGAGTAGCTGGGACCACAGGTGTACATCACCACGCCCAGCTAATTTTTAAATTTTCTGTAGAGATAAGGTCTCACTATATTGCCCAGGCTGATCTTGAACATCTGGGCTCAAGCGGTCTCCTGTATTGGGCTTCCAAAGTTCTGGGTTCATAGGTGTGAGCCACCGCATGCAGCCAAACACTTTTTCGTGTGCTAGCTGTTGGCCATTTGTATGTATTCTTTGGAGAAATGTCTATTCAAATCCTTAGCCAATTTTAAATTATTTAATCTTTTTTTTAAATCAAATTATAAGAGTTTGTCTGTTAATAGGAAACTTCTCTTCAGCTCTGTCTACTTTTGGTTCCTCTCAAAAGATTTCATATAGCACACTTGAATATTTTCTCTGATTTCCTATTTAGTAGAGTTTAACCAGTTTTCGGCTGTTGCTCTACTCCCTTTCTTCTAATAATCTTTTCAAAAGTTTTGTTTCTAAGCTGTTAGTAGAACAATCTAGAGCTAATACACACTTCATTCTGTAAGAAGTTAGTATCATCCAGAAATCTTCATTTTAATTGTGTTAAAGTTCCCTTTTTAAAAAGAATGGACATAAATGAATCCAAAAAGGTTTTTGTTTGTTTGTTTTTTTAGATACAAATACCTGAAAGAATCAAATTACCAGTCATCACTATACATTTTTGTATGTCAGGTTAAAAGATATATTTTGATCACTTTTTTCTATTATAATTTTAGGACGCCTTTTTAAAAATCATTCGAAATGAGGGCATTAAATCTCTGTGGAGTGGCCTTCCTCCTACCCTGTAAGTTGAAATTTAATGTTTTTTTCCTACTAAATTTTGGTTGTTATTTTATCTTATAATCAGCATGGTTGGACAAAGTCTTGCATTTTTAATATTATAACGCTTTCATTTTCTGAGGTATTGTTTTTTAAGTCTCACAGCCACCCACGTTTTTGATGATGTGCTGGAAGGACTTGCAGGACCTGAGGAGATTATATTCACAGATACGGGTTATTACAGCAAAAGGATACAAAACAGAATTGGTAAGGGAAAAAGGCACATCAGGAGTTGTCCAGAAATAGGCTTCCAAAGCCCTCCCTTAAGGCATTGCACAGGATATGCTTATCCTTCTATCAGTGAGCTTCGAGGTATACAAAGTGCTTCTGCCTTGGGAAACCCATTTGAGTTTTGAGTGTAGGGCTTTTATTGAGTGTGGTTTATATAGGTACATTCTCTCTTTGAGGCCAGTTGTGATGAGCAAAACTTCAAAGCCCCAGAAGGAAAGAAGTTTACCATAAATTATAGTGTACAAATAACCCTAGACAAGTTGGTTTAGTGCTACAGATATACAAAAACCTAATAGGAAACACTGCAGGGGATACATTCCCATGAGTTGTCCAGAGATCAGGCATGCACATAGGCCCACCTGAAGTTATACAAGGTTTGAGCAACCAAGCCTGCTGTATTTTCTTTGCTACACAAGCATATGGTTATTTTTTTCATGTTCAGAAATAAAGGCTTTGGTGTTTATTTGTTCATTTTACTAAAGCTGTATGATATATTGTAATATGTATACCTTACTTTCTCCAGATAATTCTAATTCTCTACTAACTAGCAGTTATATGAATTAATATGATAAACTTGTAATGTTGAATATAAAAATCTAAAATAATACCTTGGCTTTTGCTGTCTTTTGTTTTATTCCCAAGAACTTTGATTTTAATGGAAAATGTTAGTCAATTTGAGGAATTTATTTTAAACCATGCTTAAGGTTTAAAGTTAGTGGCAGATCCAAGACCCTTCCCATTCAGTCCTGCTCCTAAATCCTCAGCAGCAAAGTTCACCATAGAATATTAGGCATTCCAAACTATGGTCTGTGAATGTCCTTTAGTTATATCATCAACATGGACTAGTTTCTTGATGTATTAAGATTTATTGACATGACGGTACCTGCAACTTTGTGTTTGAATTTAATAATTCCCTTTTAATATTTTCTTTTAAAATAGTATGTCGTTAGAATTCCCTTAAAATTAGTGTATGTAATTCTGATGATGTTAATTATAATTTACGTCTAGCTACAAGCAGGAGTGATATATGATCCACAGTTCAAAAATGTTTTACAATTTCTTATTTACTTTTTATTTCACTGATTCTGATGTTATGGTAATTATGAATGAGAAAAAAGATCTGGGAGACCAGAAACCAGAACAAGTTAAGGAGATGAAGTGTCTGTCCTAATTTGTCTTTTCCTATTTGTTTGATTTAATTTAATGTAATTTATTTATTTATTTAGAGACAGGGTCTTGCTCGTCCCTTAGGCTAGAGTGCAGTGGCATAATCTTGGCTCATTGCAACCTCCGCCTCTCAAGTTCAAGTGATTTTCATTCCTCAGCCACCTGAGTAACTGGTATTACAGGCATGTGCCACCATGCTAGCACTTATTTATTGCTATATATTGTAACTGTCTTCACAACTAGAATGTAAACTTTTGGATGGCAAATGCCTATTTTATATCTTTTTACTGCCTACTAAGTTAAGTACTAATCATTTTTAAAATAAAAATGATCTCATAGGCAGATTTGTTGTGGTTTTTAGCTTATATAAAATATAAGGGATTTCTAGCTTATATAATAAAATTTGGATTTAAGTTAAGACTATGTGGGGTCTTTTGATAATTTTGAACAAATCTTTTTGTGCAATCTAACAGAGTGATGGCAGTTCCTGCCACAGTTATTTATTTTACCTGCTATGATCAATTAACTGCTCTTCTGAGATCTAAGTTAGGAGAAAATAAAACCTGCATACCGATTGTTGCTGGAATTGTAGCCAGATGTGAGTAATAAATCTTTATTTTCATTTTGATTTCTGTTTAGAGCTTCTATTGACATTTATAGATAATTTATATAATACATAGAGTATTAGTATGATGTATTTTTCATTATAGTTTGTATTAATTTGTTAATATTGTGTAGATACTCCAGAAGTCCTATGGAATAATGATTGCCATCAGAATGAGATGGGCTCGGCCTATCTTGGTCAAATCATGGACAGAGTTTTTAGAGTGACATCAGCACTGGTTCTGATTCACCTGAACTGAATTGTCATCTGTGATCATGCCTGATTCAGGCCAAAGTCCTGAATCACTTTACTTATAAACTTTGGGATTCAGAGTTGTGTCATAAGGAAAGTTGCCTCTATACAGAAGAGCATTTTCTCTGCTACACAGTAGTGATGTTTACTGGGGCAGTAACTGGAATGGGCTTTGGTTAATAGTTCTGGTTGATTATAACATTTCTGGAACTTTCCTTGAGAGAGTTGAAACCAGAAAAAGTAAGGTAGATGAAAATAGACTTTTAAGAAATACTTTATCAAGGGAAAAATCTGTATCAATTATGCTGACATCATTATATATTTAATTGTAAGGTTTTCAGACGTTACAGAATAAAGGTTTAAAATGTCATAAAATACATGAATATTAACTTTTACAGTATATGTGTTTGCACAGTACATGGCTTTGTTTTTTTTTTTTTTTTTTAACTTGTTTGTATTAGTTGGCGCAGTAACTGTGATAAGTCCACTAGAATTGATTAGAACCAAGATGCAGTCTAAGAAATTTTCTTATGTGGAACTGCATCGATTTGTCAGCAAGAAAGTGTCTGAAGATGGTTGGATTTCCCTTTGGAGGGGATGGGCTTCTACTGTTCTTAGAGATGTACCTTTCTCAGGTAGGATTTATTTTATTTGTAGCTACTAAATTTTGTATAACTTTGTCTCATTTGTATATTACTTTCACTAGATTTTTAGCTCTTTAACTTTAAAGGTACGTTGTTTTCTGGCCGGGTGCAATGGCTCATGCCTGTAATCCCAGCACTTTGGGAGGCTGAGGTGGGCAGATCACAAGGTCAGGCAATGGAGACCATCCTGTCCAACATGGTGAAAGCCATCTCTACTAAAAATGCCAAAATTAGTGGTTCCCAGCTATTCAGGAGGCTGAAGCAGGAGAATTGCTTGAGCCTGGGAGGCGGAGGTTGCAGTGAGCTAAGATTGTGCCACTGCACTCCAGCCTGGCGACAGAGTGAGACTCCATCTCAAAAAAAAAAAAAAAAAAGGTTATTTTCTGTAGTGTAGTAACTACAACTCCTTTTTCATTGTTGGGCTCTCAGATCTTTACAAGCCTTTATTGAATGAATACTTTTTATTCAAGCCTGGCTTTTTCTTCCCTTGCGATTAATTTGCTTTTATACATTTTTTATTGGTATTAATATTCAGATAATGCAAACTACCTTTAACATTCTAAGTAACTCAATATTATTTTAAATTATTAGTAAGATAAGCAAAACTATGAATCAAAGGACAGAATCCATTTAAGACCACTTGGGAATTATATGTGCTCCTACTTTTTCAGTTATTAAAAATAAACATCTCTGCATTAAATGATTATCCTGTAAAAGACTATTGCAAATCAAGTAGGCGATTGTACTAATCACTCAATTATGAAAAGGGAGAAAGTTATGAAAAGTGAGAAGTACAAATCTACCAGTAACTTATAGAATGTACATACTTTAGTGGCATTTCCCTGTGAATCATAGAAGTTTTTAAGACCCAAAAGAAATACTTACCTAGAGAGAAACTCAAATAAGGACATACATATGTTTTAAAAATCATGAAACCACAGATATGTTCATTCACGTCACAGCCCCAGTGGTAACCACTGTATTGAATGTCATTCATTTGATTTAAAAAATTAGTTTTTCTACATACGTATTTTTGCTAAACATTATATTATTTAGTTTTGCCTATTTTTGAAAATCCCATTTTCCTAAAAAAATTTTCCTAAGATTTATTGTTGTGTTACATGTAACTGTTTTCTTCATTTTTACTAATTTATATGTGAGTAAACAAGTCAAACAATGATGCTATGAAAATTTTTAAACAGTTTCTTGGTGCACCTTTGAAAGTTTATCCTGTTGGATTTGTTGGTTCGTATACAAATATATATTTCAAATTTAACTCTTTTAAAAAGTGATTATATGATCTACGTACCTATTGGCAATGTATGAGATTTTCTGCTGATTCACACCCTTGCCAAGATTTTATTGCCTAAGTTCTTAATTTTTGTTTAGTAATTTAAAGTGGTATCTCAGTTTAACTTGCATTTCTCTGGTTATTAATAAGATTGGGCACTGTTTCATTGGCATTCATTTATTCATAATTGATTTGGGGTTTTGAACTGAAATAGGTTTTCAGTTTCATTTCCCTCCCAAATGGATAGCTAGCTGTTTCAACGTCACCTATTACAGTGATTCCCCCAACCTTTTTGGCACCAGAGACTGGTTTCACGGAAGACAGTTTTTTCAATCGTGTGTGTGTGTGTGTGTGTGTGTGTGTGTGTGTGTGTGTGTGTGTG